CGTGTCTGCTTATTGATGAAAAACATTGAATTATCAATTAATGCCGAGGTTAACAGAAAGTCGGTCATGGGAATTTTTCAAAGATGTTAGTTGTAGGTGTTATATACCTCTAATGAAACACTATTGAGTGAGACCTTTATAAAATCAGGAAAATATTACAAGAATAATTAGTTAAGAATAGGCATTTTATCCAAAGACGCATTCCAGGGATTGGTGAATGCGCCTTCTATCTACTCTCATTTTTTTCCCTCAAACGACCCATCTTCTATTGTGCGGATTGCAGCATTTCCAGCATTCGATTAGTTTTAGTCACATCCGCAAAGATCTTCCAACTTCTACGCGTTGCTTCGGCTACTGCTTGACGGCCTGAACACAGTTTTCCCATCGCGGAGTGAAAGGAGGCTAGGTAAACCGGGGCAAGAGTGCGATGCTGTCCACGAACGCTTCAGTGATGTTTCCAGCTTCCGTACCTGGGCAGAAGTTTTAGTTTGAGGTTTATTCAATGTGTTTGAATCCTCTTAAACCTCTGTTCTAAACACATTTCGAACTAAAAAAAATGCCCAAAACGATTACAGTTAATGCTGAAGTATAGGGCAAAATTACAAACTATCTTCATCATTTTAATGCACAACAATGAGTCAGGCATAAATCAATCGACATTAACCAATAAACCATGGATGCGTCATGCATTCAGTTCTACTCGTAACATTATAGTTTTCACTGAATGTGTATTTGGCCCTTTACAATGGCATACTGTGTTCTACTGATGTATAAAATCAGTGTTTTTACTCTCCCAAACAAGTCTGGTATCACCTTGCCAACTCAAGAGAGGCTTTGTCCACTCAAAAACGGTGTCGAACCACACTGACACCTTTACAATCCGCTCTCCTGTTGATCGTCGAGTTACTCCAACAGGCTCCATGAAATTCTCCATTTAACAAAGCATTATGCCTTTTTCCTAGTGTCTTCTAGAAGAACTCTGACCATTGGACCCGTGTTTTTTTTCTGCGCTTGGCATCTGCTAGGTTCTAGCCGTTAATGACTATTGTCCATCGGTTTTTGTTGGGATCCATCACGTGTCCGATTGTACAGTGGCGGCTCTGTTTCATGATCACTGGCGTAGGTCGAAACTTTGGATTCTCTTTCGCTTGCGTGATGTCGTGTAGTCAATTTGAGTACCCATATCACATTCTAAAAGCGATTCCACTACTTAAAAAGACCAAAAATATCGCGAATTGTAGAACCTCGTGTGGAATGCCTCCACCTCTATCTTAGTGGAAAACTCGAAAAATATGGAAAGCAACACCACTCTATCTGACTTCTTACATAAGTGATCATTGATATTCACCTTATCCAACGCGTATACCTCTAGCCATGCAAACTGCACAGCGGCTAAATTAAGCCCGAATCACATTAACCACTGTTCACAATAGTACTGTAACGTGTAACAAAGAATCCGCATCAACGCAGAAACCCCTAAACCGTCCAACATAAACAACTTTTGCTGTGATGGTTGAATTTTCCTAGTTTGTTGTACAGCCGAGGTGTGAGCCAGATATTCGAAAATGAGGAACTAGCGCATTTTTGCGTTAACACCACCCTAACAGAAATAACACCGAAAAAATGAACTTCATGCAAAACAGTTCCATATATCTCACTATTTTCCCCTGTTGACGATTCTTGCCAAACAACTGGAAACCATTCTATTCTGCCGCTTCCGGATGATTCGTAAGGATGATCTACCGTTGTGGCAAAGCAGACCCGACAAGTGTAAAATAACCTTTCGCATGTACGACATTAAAAAAGGATTTATACTAAATTCCGACTAGCATGATACAAATAAGCAGAAAAAACTACAAAGAACAACAAAAAAAAACAATCTGGTTCAAATAATTTTAAAAAACCTTGTAACAATTCAACCGGAGTATAACAGAGCGCATGATGAAATCACTCAATAACATAAAAAATCTTAAAACTGCCCAGTTATTAACGTTATTAAGACATTCGCGACGAAATACGGGTTATCGACGATAATATCTGGGCCACTAAAACTTTCCTCTATGGCATCGGCCCCACATATGACTTTCCCACCGTGTCGTTTCAAATTTAGACACGTTTAGGATTGAAACATTAAAAAAATCGCTAAAGAAATTCAAGTTTTTAAAATTCTCAACGGAATAACTGCCAGTTACAAACAGAGGGAATACATCGAGCAACAGCATCCCGTCCTGTTGGATCAAATTCTCCTTGTTAACTTGTTTTCTTCTTCGAAATATAAGCTTTGAAGCAATAGGGTGGAAGAAATATGACTCATGACCTTCACAAAACCATAATTCCACTTTCGTAAAACAAGAGAACTTTTCTACCACAGATAAGGATTTCTCAGAATTCAGTAATTTTTATCCAAAAAATAAAAGTGACCAAAAGCTGTGATATGCTGATTTCAACCTGAAAGTGATGATTATTTTAGTATTTTCGAACATGAGTCCTGCAGAGGTCACTTCGTCGCGAATATATTAACTTATCACTGGGTCTATTTTTCCTCTCGAGCCATCGTCTAAGTATATCATGTATACTGATCAATTACCAACAGTGCTATTTTCTTCTCCTAACATTTTTCTTAACTCTATCCGGTAACTGCTGGACCATAACCAGCCCATGATTATATAAGAGATGACACAATCCCTGAACTTGTTCTCCAGTCATGTCAGTAGGCATTTCAGAAAGTGACATCCATTCAGGATAATTAACACTGAGGGCATTAAAGCCGTCGATAAACTGGAAATAGGTAGCAATGATTACCGTTTTACTAACTAAAAAAATTCAGGAGGCTACAGTTAACAAACCTCATTGGGCAAACTGAAGTATTGCTGAGGTCGCCCTTCATAAACACGTGAATTTGCCATACGATGTACAATATAGCAGGCGTTTTCATTTTCAAATATCAGTCTAAACTAGTACTGGTATGAGGCAGGAAAATGACTGGCAAGGTAGCTCGTGATGTTATAGGAGAAGTATACCTCTGCGCATGTCTTCGAATCAATTTCACTCGTGTGCTCGGACGGAACTCCATAGGCTTTCCATGAAGAATATCAGGATGCGACCCAACCACGCTTAGAGTTTTCTCTTCTGAAAGATGTAGTATTAAGACAAAATGAAAAACACTTCATAAACAATGGTGATATAACTGGCGTGTGTCGGAGATGTTCATACGATTTGTGACCAGAAAAAAAATTGAAAGAAAATTGCCAAATATGCCTCCAATTATTTTTACGATGTCTGATGAGGTCGTATGCATAGCGCTTCCTTCAAGGATTGATTCGCGCCGGACGCTTTACATTTTGCACAAAATTTCCATTCAGAGTAGGAAAGTCAACAAATAAAAAGGCATGAGTAAACTTCAAACTTTGAGCCCAGAATTCACCGGCAGTTAACATTGGAGGCAACGCGGTCTTCATAAATTCCCCAGCCATTATGTCGATCCCACCATCACCCAGTTCTTTCAAAAAAATTCGAAGCGCTGTCATATGACGATCGAGGGCTGCCTTCCACCTGTAAGTTTACAAAAACTTTAAAATTACATCGTATTCGTCAACTCTCTCCGAATATTGATTTTATAGCGCCTTCTATAATTTTATGAATTTCAATATTATTAATATATTAAGAAACTTAGAATCACAAATTTCCTTAATGAACTTCTCAGAAAACATACTTCACTTCAAAATGTTCATCCAACCGATAATCGATGTCTGCTACTCCACCCATATCAAGCATTCCCACTGGAAGTGATTTTCTCATCATCCAACGATTCTTTGCCAAAGTCGTAATAGCCTCGGGAACCTTTAAATTCAAAGCCAGACAATAAAACAGTTGTCACAGTGGAATAATGAAAACATGTTATCAATCACAAAGATCCAGAGATATTTGCAAAACTGTGTTGTGGTTTCACATAACCCCTTAGCGTGAAATATTACATTGTGATTTCGACTACAGCCTCAGTTCAAGGCCGATTTGTACCCCCGGATGAATCCCCTTGACGGGTAACTGCTGATGGCGCCCTTAGGTAGAAAACAATGGCTGAGAGAAAGTCAAGCCAAAGGCCTCAGTGGTGCAGTGTGCAACACGCGACCTCCTGAAGGGGTAGTCCTGGTTCGATCTGTTCTGAAGTCCAAAGTTTGCGAACATCTCAGCATCATTGTGGTTGTACTTCACATAATATCCTGCTGTGAAAAATTACAGTAGGTAGTAAATAAAAGGTTAACACTGTGTCATCAATATTTATACTACATCAACTCTATGTAGTACTGGTATTCTTATAGAACCCAGTACACTAAATATGAATACACCTCTTCCTTATTCATCACACCCAACATTACCGACATTCCTCCCGAATATCGCATTTTGGTACAAAAAACAGAACTCGTATACTAAACGGAGTCATCCAAGTTGTGAATATATTAAACGTTTCTGTCTGCAATCCCTCTTAAAAACCAATCTATGTCAACAATGCCCATTAGACTGAAACTAACTGGTCGAGAGATGACAAAACATAGATGATGATTAAGACAGATGATAAACTCCGACACATCACGTCCGACAGCATCAGTGATAACCACTTTTGTTCTGATACGGCAATCTCAGATCTGCAGAAAAAAAACCCAGCATTCCCAACAGTTAACCACAAAGCTGAATATGAAATCACGAAGCGTAGAGCAGCTAGTCGAAACAACAACAGAGCAGTTACTCTAGACCTTTCTCTCCAACATGTCTCCTCCACGAAACTTTTGGAAGAAGAACATCATCTTTGGACATTGAGCATTTCCACTTGTGCTGCATAGTTGACGATTGACCACGCACTTGTATCAACAATGAATACTATCTGCTCAACAACTTCACAGTCCAATCTTTTTGTAGCGCACTCAGTCACTGCCCCATATGAATACGACAAACTTTTAAAAAAGGATTCCACAACGATAACGAATACGACTGTTCTCCGTAATTTAAAAAAAATTTAACGTCGCCTCTCTAAATACAGGGCTATTGGTGCTAGTCTTTGGAAAACTTCGATATGTCCAAAGAGGTTTTATTCTACCACCGTGAAAGTATGTGAAATTCTGTAAAGACAAGTGATTTTGTTCGTATTTTTTGAGCAAACGCGAGGTGTTATTGTTCTTTGTTCACGATTAAGCTGACGTTTCGGCGAATTTCGCCTTCTTCAGAGCCTGGAAAGGTACCACCACCTCTGACCACCTCTGTAAAGACAATTTGGTTTTGAACTCGTCCAAAAAAATTTTTTTTTTAAATGAAGCCGAAACCTGGATTTTTAAAGTCTTTAACACAAGTCGAGCAACCGCAAACATCAATGATGAATCTGGTGACAGTACTGTATTTCGTTAGATGAAATCCTATTTGTCCAATCTTTTTCACTATTCGAGATACGAACATTGACGACAAAAGATGAAGGAAAAAAATGATGGGAAATCATAAGCAAGGACTAAAGTTAAATGAATGTGAGTCCCTGGATGACAAAAAAAAGGACTGACGAGTATATCCATGAGATCAGCGAACGACCACTGTCTTCCACTTGAAATTGTTATATGAAGAGAGTGAACGTCATCAGATGTGGTTGCCTAGAACGTCTAGATTACATCTACATATATCACATCAAAAAGATCCCTACAACACTGAAACCTTGAAAACTTTTCCAAAATTTCCGTAACACTTTTGAAACGCAACTTCCGGATATTGGAAATCAAAAGTGAGCATCTGCCACACACTCGAATAATATGGGTAACCTAGAGTACTTTGCCAAAACCCCAACTTTCAGGCGGAGAAATCGCCCATGTAGCTTTTTATTGTTCTTAATCATTGAAGTATTTGTTCGCCAAGCAATTTTTGATAGCCAAGACTAAATAAATCGAAGCACCGATCACAGAATATTTCATGTAGGCAGAAGGCAGAATTTCTCAATCAAAATTTGTAAACAGTCTTAAGAGTCCTGTTCTTTAGGTACCGACCACATAAATGAATGGTGTTACGGTGGAAAACTCTGCTTAGGAACGTCGATTTTGAATTGTAATAGCCAAATTTTTTCATCGTGTTCCTAGAGGCGATCCAAAAGTGCACATCACTCCCATGTTTCGGGGTCGACCGGGGCAATTGAGAAGTTCTCGACCAGCAATTAACATACTTCGACAAAGCCTCATTGGTTATGTTATCCCCACTGCGCAAAGCAGTGAACAGTGCGGCAGTTAATAATTTCGTCGAGCAGGAATCAAAGGCCCTAATTTGACTCCCTCCCCAACTCATTCCTCCAGTCCACGTGGGAACGCCTTGCCCGAATGTCTCCAAAACTGCAAAGCTTGCCGATTCTACCTGCATTATATGACATTCACGAAGAAGACGAAATCCTTAAACAGACAACATGCGAAATGTTCGAGGACCATCGTGGACGACGAATGCAAGAAAAACTATTCGAATGTAAGAAATGATGGGATTCCCACACTAAATGTGGTGATGGCCCATTTTAAAAAAAATAGCGGATTTCTAAAATCAATGGCATAAACGAGATTTGTAATCGTGATCCCGCATGATCCAATACAATGTTTCACCCTTTATTTCGGAATCTTCACTTCTCAAAGGACCAATTTTAATTCATTTGATAAAAATTCTCCTTGTGGAATATAAGGATATCATCTGCTGCGGCTTTTGTTCTGTCCTCATAAGAGTTCCCACATGACAGGGTGTTGATTGTTCAAATAGAGCCACGGTTACACAAATAACTTTGAATAAAGGACGACAGTGTCTTCAAATGATGGCACGGATTAGCAGAAGCAGAAGTTGCTTTCTAAACCTTTCGGACAAAACTTCAAGAGCATTCCAATTGTTCCCGTCCATAATCTGGTGGCATCACCCATTCTAGAGTGTTCGTCAGGTTTATTTAGAACAAACTCGCATGAAATTAAGGCAGAACTTTTGGTTCCTCTAAACGTGATTTCCTCTTGAATTTCAACAAAATTTTTTCTATTTACGATGTAATCACCAAAGTAAACGTTTGTAGAAACAGAATGCTGAGCCAACACTTGCTTTTTCTTGAAAAATTGCCGCTACACGTAGAAATCCCCGAGTCCCGACTTGACGTTCCCAGTTGGCTAAATGCTTACCCTAAAGATTTCTCATAATTTGACAAAGATAAAAACGAGATAGCTCAACATCCAAGATCTGCACAGGACATAGAATCGCTTCCGACCTGAGCACTTCTAGTTGTTTCTCCTCTCAGAACTCTTCAGAAACTTTCTCCTCCAACGAAATCGCACCAAAGAATGACAAAGCGCCACCAGTCAAGCTTTATCGACTGGTATAATGTCGGGTCATCATACTACGATAGTAGAGGACGTGCGGCCTTTGTTCGATGGTAAAGTTATGACAGCTGAATAGTTTCGTTAATGCAGGATGGTGGTGCAGTCGTCAAAGGAGTGTTCTGATTCCGCAAATTTCTACGTTTCTCTCTTCGATGACAAAGGGTGAAGTCAACAAGATAAAGTGGAGACGCACATGATTTCGGCTCAAAACGCACGCAAACACTTACAAACTAGTACTATTTGCTGCAAATCATCACTAGAACACGATTTTTCGTTCCTTCCTTCATTCTCCTGGTTATTTCCTCTTAAAAGCAACCCTCCCCATTCGTCCCTCCTCCTCTCTTATTTACCTTTACCTAGAAGAATTTTGAAATTTTCCTTAACTTATCCAAATATGTGGCGAAAGGTTGCATGAGACCAGGAAAAATCATTTTCCACAGTTTTAACCTATCTTCTTGCTAAATAAATACATTAGGCAGCTAAATAGGAAACCCGTCGATATCTTTAGCTCGGTGTATATTTTTAAGAACCCCTTTTTTCAATATAAAACAAGGTTGTTTTCGTGGAATACAAATACGAAGCATTCTGAGAACTTTATGCTACTGATAAATCATTCGAATGCAGAGGTACAACTCTTCAATTTTATGCTGAGAACCTACTTGATGAATGAATCCTCGAGGAATATAAAGGAGATCTCCAGCCTCAATCCAACCTTCGAACGTCGGCTTGCGGTTTTTCATGTCGTCATCAGTAAAATTTCCTTAATTGAGCAATAACAAACACGAGTTTTAGTAAAGTAGAAGGGTAAAGTTCAATATTGGCCAATCTTATTTGGATTACATAAACTTTAACTGTAAATCTGTTCAACCGAAAATGTGTAAATTTATAAATGTATACTCGGTCTTTGGGGACCGTGTAGCGCAGTGGTCGGATGCGCTCTGCAATACATATTGGGATTGATCCTCTCGCCACAGGGCCTTCAAGCTCTCCATCTTTTCGTGGTCGCCGAACTGGTACCAGACCTATCTAGTAGGATAGCAGCACTGGCTCGATACATCGGTAGGCCAATGTGAGTTATTGTAAAGGCCAGATATGCATTCAATCACCTTCAACGATGCGTAATGAAGCCGAATGCATAGCGGATCCCTCAGGGATTGATCAACGCTGAGAAGTTTATGTTATATTTGGTCTTTACAATGAGCACGAGAGATTTACTGTGGAAGAAGTGAATGCATTATACTTAGCAAACATGTCTGCAAAATTCACCAATACAAGTGCAATCGATGACTTTGTTGGTCAAATGTAATGATGTCCATAATTACACAACACTAAGAGAATAAGAAATTCAAGCACAAATATAGCACCCACCGCTTGATTCTCTTGGCAGTTCGTCACTAATAGAATCAGGTGCAAACACCTTCCAATACTTCCTTCCTTCCAACTGTAGCAGAAATGCATCAATGTCATCCCAGTGAGGTGCAAATCCAGAAGAACCAGCAGGAGTCAGATACCTAAATCCTCTGGATCTGGAAAAACTCCGATGGGTGGAAAAAACATTCTAAACCCAGACGCTCACGTATTTGCACCAATAAAACATCCAAACAACTCTTGTAAAACTTCACAAAAATACCACACTCGATCGTCAAAAGTCTGTGGATTGACAAACTGCACAGATCTTCCGATCTGAATCTCAAAAATAAAGTACCATACAATTAAGGAACATGAAGAGTAAGAAAAGCATTAACAAATAGAAATCAAAGGACTTACGGCGATGTGTCCCCTGAGATGACTTGGATACACACGTCCTGTACCATTCATTGTAAAACGAACACCGCCCTTGTATTCCGCTACATTTATATTTGTACCGTACTCCAAGTAATTCTGTGGGAAAAATAAAATTGTTGAAAGAGAAAATCAACGGAAAGAACTAAGTTTTTCTTTAACCGCTGATTCACAAACTACCTAAGCTGCGTAAAAAAACTACTTACATTCTGAATGAGTTCTACGAAACTTTCGGTAGAAAACAGATTGCCATAATAATTCGGAGCATTCCGCTTCAAAACCAACACATTAGATTGGAAGAATTCCCTAAACAATAACAGCTAATATCAGAAGGTAATAAAAAGACATATTCGTTAATTCTTTATCTATTGCCTACTAATATTTTTCACGGCAGGATATGATATGAAATACAACCACTATGACGTCGGGATATTTGCAAAACTTGGAACTCAGGCCAGATCGAACCGCGATTACCCTTTCTAGGACTCACGTGTTGCAGACCACACCACTGAGGCCCTTGTTTTGACTTTTTCAGTCAGCTTTGTGCTCCCAGATCATTCCCGATGATGGGTGATTGGTGATGGCATCGCTAGGTACAAACCTGGGCAGGACAAAGGCAAAGCAAGAACCTCAGTGGTGCCGTCTGCAACACGTGAGTCCTGGAAAGGGTAACCGCGGTTCGATCTGGCCTGTGTTCCAAGTTTTGCCAATATCTCAGTATTATAACAAACATATATTTACAAAAATACATCAGATATAAAGAAACCTGAAAAACGTTTGAGCATCACAAGGAGCAACCATCCAAGCGAACGCGCGTGTCGCAGTAACGGATGAATCGCTGTCGGTGAAAGGAAAAGCGTCGAAATCTGGAGGATACAACGCCGCATCGCCGTCTGCGTACTTAAACACAAGAGCGATCCATGAACAAACACCTCCAATATACTGTTTAAACTCTTCAAAATTACCAGTAAACAACCAAAAAGACGCTGATATTTACAAAACGCTGGTCCGCAGGTATCTGTGGTGGGGATCGAACACAACATTACCCCTTCCCGGGGCTAACGTGTTCATCACCACATCATGGGGGCTCTTCGTTTCGCCTTTCTATCAGTAAATGTATTAGTATCACTACTACCCCCACTCCTAGCAATTTGTGGTTACATTATGGCTGGAGGGTGCACCTGGGAGTCGAAGTACGGTGTACATTGTATGCTTCATTTCCCAATAAGCTCAACCAAGCTGAGAAGTTCAACATTCTCATTTAAAGTACAACTCGCAGGAGCAGTATGGCACCGTCCCAGACAACTGCCATTGTTTATCCTTTTCCCAAAAGTAGCAAAAATAAAAATGTACGAACAGAGTTTTCCGTTGCCTGCTAGGGTTATTCAATTACTAGTGGATTCACTATTGCTACAATAGTTATATTCCACAAATAAACAAATGAAGTCTGAAGTCCAGCGTGTGCAACACTTGGAATTTCTTGAAGCGTTATCAAGCGTTAAAACTAATGCACCTGAAATACTGTGGCCTCCCGGTACTCGCCTAGATTAGCCTCTTCATCTGATTCCTCGTCATCCAATAGTGAAGTCGAATCGCCAAGAACTCTTTCGTCTTCATCTGACTCATCGCTAATGCTCTGAGACGGTAACAATGAACAAGCTTTTTCTGGCGAAAATACGTATAATTTGTTTTACATAATAAAAAAGGCTGAAAACAGGTAGCTACAACCCTCAAATGAAGAGATTCACTTCAGTTCACCACTCGATCGATATGCATAAAAAAACGGAAGAATAAGTAATGTTTAGACTAAAGCTCTGCAAAATTTCAACGTAACCAATCAGTAAATAAAGTGTTTTCCAAACAAATTAAGGTTTTCAACAGGAATTCATAGAAAGTCCTACCCTTCAAAAACAAGAAAGAAAATACGGAATATCTTTAAAATTCAACAATATTCGTCTCTAACCTTAGTTTGCCTCGTTAAGTTACATATTTCCTAGAACATCTCGGAGTCCACAATGTTTTTGAGGGATCAAATAAAAAACCAAAACAAACCAACATACTCAAATGTTTAAACTAGATATAGATATTAACATCTTAATTTCTCTAGAAAGTCAAGTCGCCTTAGATTTCTCTTAAAAAACAAAAGCTCAGATTGCACATCGTCTTAAATTAAAGAATCAACTCTATACTCTTTATCTTAATATTAGCACCTATACCTTTACTCAGATTTTTCTTCAATTCGGTGCACAGAGATAAAACGGGGGACATGAGAAGAGAACACGTGGTTTTTCGTTCGAATTAAACCTATCAAGTTGAACTCCAATAGGTTGCACTTGGTCACGACCCGTTGGTTTTGAAATGTTCCCAGCAAAAATCGGAGCTTTGGACGTTTCGCGAGTCGTTTTTCACTCGGAATTTCGCTCGCGGAAAGACTATGTTTGACTAAAAGAACAATTTCTGAACACAACTTCCAATTCAAATCTAAAATTTGTACGCGTAGTTGCCGCACGAAATGACTGAAATGCAAAGAGGCCGCCATTGTGAACTCCCCTGTATGCTTTTTTTGCCCAGGAACAAAGATTCGTTCCTCGACCGCATGTCAACACGGACGGGGCACAACAAACTCTGACGTCCTGCACGAAGTCAGGCAATGATGGAATATCAAAACAAACGGCTAGGAGAGATTTCACCAATAAATATTACGATGATTAAAACCTCCCGAATCCTAGCAAAACAGGTACAGCATGCGAGTAAGAGGATAAAGGATAAAACTCTCAGAGTTGATCAATTCCTCAAGGATGCGCCATGCATTCGACTTCATGAAGCATCGTTGGAGATGACTGAATGCATATTTGACCTTTACAAAGACTCGCAGTGGCCTATATATGCGTCGAGCCAGTCTTTCTATTCTCTTAGACAAATCTGGTATCATTTTGCCGACTCCGGAGGGATGGAAGGCTTGGTGAGCCCGGGGCGCGGAGATCAATCCCATGAGTATTGTAGGCTGCCTTCGACTACTGCGCTACATGCAACAGCATACAACTATAGTCACAAACTCCAGAAAATGCACCAGGAATTGGATGTACGCCACCGGCGTAGATCTTATTCACACGACCAACAGTATAAAGGTTGAAACAACACAGATGTGTAGCTCCACTTTATCCAGCATGCACAAAAAAACCTGTCTACTAGAATTTTCACAAAGAAAAAATCGACTTGCTCAGAATGTTCTGAACGGCTCAAGAGCCGGTAAAATGCCACAAGAACAGTTGTAGGCTCCAAAATCCTACAATTCTTTAACGATGGCAAAATGGAATACTGAAATACTATCGGCAAAGACGAGTAGATTTTAACATGTCTACTTTAATGCGAAGAGTGAAGTTCGTTGGTCGACAAATACAAGATTTCCGCTTTAATGGTGCAATCTTTTTATAACACCAAGCACTAACTTGACGCGACCACTGACTACGATGACGTGCGAAGAAAAATCGATCTTGGCTGAATTTGAAGACAGCATTCATGAGAAACAGACGCATTTCTCATGATGCTCAGCGAAAAAATTCTTCAGAATAATCTAGCTATGCCTGTTTGGGACAGGAAGTCAAAATAATGGAGGACTTAGCTCCGGAAGCGAATAAAATGACATGGGTAGTTCTTATTACTGGGAAAGTAATGGAAAAAAACAAGGAATATTCAAATTCCTGGCAACTTTTTCCAGTCCGCGATTCCGCCTACCTGAGCATGTTGTCAAAGTTTTAACGAAGATCTTACAAGGACACTGAGAAGTACTTTATGTATCCTGAAAAACCTGCACCCGACTATGACTTGTGGCCTAAAAGAGTGCCCACTTTACAGGACATCAGAAGGAAAGATAATCGTACAACGTGAACTGAGATATACACCTAAGATTAAAAATCTGTAAAACCGCGATCTTTCAGAGTCTGAAATTGGAAAACTGGAAGCTTTGTAGCTCACTTCAGAAACAACTACCTCATCATCCTCGTTTTCAACGTCAACCTCCTCGCCTGCAATTTCTTCATCACTATCCGACTGCTCTTCATCACCTTGTATGCGTTCCTCATCATCTGATATACTATTGAGGTTAACGTTGTAATTCTCGCCCCTACCGAAATCTGAAAATCCTGTTCTGAAGAATGAAATCTTCCTTGTAGTCACGAGTATTCGGAACAACAAAGTACATAGCAATGAACTTGAAAATAAAAAAGGATAAAGATCGGCGTTGATCAATCCCTGAGAAATGTGCTATGTCTTCGACTTCATAAAGCATCGTTGGAGAAGACTGCATGCATATCTGACCTTTACAATGACTCGCGGTGGCCTACCGACGTATCGAGGTAGTACTGCTATCCTTACAGACAAGTATGTTATCTATCTGTCGAGTCCGGAGTGATGGAAGACTTGGTGGGCCTTGGGGCGGGGTTCGACCCCATGTGTATTGCATGGCGCCTCCGACCACTGCGCTACATACACGAGTTACGAAACGCAAAACATGGACATTTTTTTTCAAGAAATCTTTCTAAAGAAAAGAAAAATACATTCAAGTAATAAGTAGCACGTCATCTTCTTCTTGAATAGTGATTCAAAAAAAATGCTCTCATTTAATAATACAGGTTAGAAATAGGAGAAACAACCATACCGCAGCTATTCTTGCTCTCGAAAGCGTCCAAATTTTCGTCGTTTCCTGCAAAATATTTGAGAAACAATGCATACCATGCGAAATAAACAAAGGTCTAGAAAATATGATTCATACAGCGCACATAAATCCCTTAGTTATAAGCATAAACGATGGAAGATAAAGTTGTCGGTATTAATCAATCCTTGAGGGATGCACTATATATTCGACTTCATCAAGTATTGTTGGAGGTGATTGCATGCATATCAGACCTTTGCAAATGACTCAAGATAGCTTATGGATATATTGAGCCAGTGCTGCTATCTTTCCAGACAAGTCTGGTACCAATTTGCCGAGCCCGAAGGGATGGAGGGCTTAGTGGGCTTTGGGGCAAAAATCGTTCCCATGCGCATTGCAGGGCGCCTCTGGCCTTTAGGCAACACGCGCCCCTAGTTATAAGCAAGCAGTTCGAAATATCTAACTGATCAACGTATGTCGATGCCACTAATAATGTTCAAACGAAATGATGTCAGGACGTTAGGCATATGGACTTTTCGAAGATCTCCCGTTCCATCGACGAGTTAACATATACTCACAAAACATACAGACGTAGGAAACGAATTTCACCCCCTCTTCTCACTTTATGGCCCCATCTATGCTGTTTTAGCCCTACACTTTGATGGTTGGAGAAGAGCAATATTTGACAACCGCTGCAACCACGATGTTGAACTTCACAGTGTACGTGGCATGAACGATGTGCTAGGCACATCACAGTCGTAGCCAAGCCGTTGCGAGTGGGATACTACATTTGCGCTGGATCTACAAAAAAACTCAGTGAGTACCACCGCTATGCATTAAATATTGGCTGGCACATTTCGTTCAAAATATCTATACATGCTGTTTTGATTTTGATAGTGCTTTTAAAATGTCTCCCAACGGTTTACCGCTTCATCGTGGCTGGAAGGTGTTCCTGGGTGTCGGACTGCAATCTACAGCGGAGGATTCGTCCCTTCGCAGGGTTCCCAAGCTGAGAAGAAGTCCGGCGTTTCTATCAGAAAGCCTAGCTAAGAGTAAACCAATACCAGGATCCACCACCATCCTGGTATCAAAGTCGCATGGTGGTAAATATCCCTCTAATCCGCAAGAGCTGCGACTGCCTGCCGTGGTGACGACTTAAGGCAGACTTTGGCCAGGCTGTTCTCGGGATTCCAGGGAACCACAATGGCTTAACCAGCAAGTCTCCGAAAAATGGTGATTATGCTGGGGCCCGCACAGCTAGTGAGGACGGGGCCATCATGTATCAAGTATAAGTTCAAGCCTCAATTTAATAAAGCACACTTTCGTACATCCTGTAATCAACCTGTCGGTGAAACAACTTCCCGCTCAAAGTAAACCGTTCCTCTAATTCCTCTGAGCTCCAGAAATTGCTACCAGACCATTTTAAAGGGTAAAAAAGCTGACTTTACACATCGACAGCCTTCCACAAATTACTGCTTATACAAAATATCCATACGATCACCTCTTAGATCCGTAAAGGGTCGGACGCACGACACATCTCTAAGGTCTAATCGAGCTGTGACATTTTATTCCCTTTCTCTAGTAAACTTAAGGGTTCATAGCAGCACCATTAAATAGATATCTGCATTTTGAAATGTCTACCTTCACGGTTTTATTCTGATGCCTTGACTACTTTGATGTCTACGAATCGTTACACTTAGTACAGAACAATTTATGCCATGTGAAACTTTCGTAAAACTTCTAGAACCTTTTCAAACCATATCCCAAAAACCCTTCACCTTTGAATGGCTACTGTAAAAGGTTGAGAATCCCAGTTCATAGAAGGCTCCATCCTCCTACCTTAAGTGAAACATGTGCAAAGAATAAATTGTAGACCTGAGAAATTATTCTATCGTCTTACCATCGGTTTCAGCGATGTCAGGAGAATATGGACGCTTCCTCTGAAACCCAATTTATTGTTTTCTAAATTGCAGTGCAATGACGAAAAAACATCCAAACCTTATTCTTTGCAGTAGGGTTAGTAGACCCCTTTGTTTTGATGACCTCTGCGAAAATGTTGACTTTATTATCCGAACCGCCTAAACGTCTATATGTGAGACAGATAAAATCTGAAAGTGTCAATAAACTCACCTTTCTTCAACTTTTTCAGAGGCATTCTGTTAACAGCGCTTTCGCCACCAATGGTTCTTTTGGTTCCTCGTGGTACTCTACTGTGCATTTCCACATATTCCACATTTAGCCCATCACTCATAGTCTTCTTCTTCTTCTTAAACAAAAAAAAATGTTGAAGTCTCTCACTTCTATCACATCGACCTAAGCATAATGAAATCTCCAAGTATATCTTATGGCGAACCTTCTCGTAACGTCTAAAAGGTACTTCTTTCGGAGATGCCTTTTTGTAGAAAACCTCCCCTAAAAGACAACCATAAAATAAATGAGTGAATAGAGGACAAGGTGGACAAAAATAGTATTTATTTGGTTGAAATGCATACAACACACTGCCATCGTGACTTAAGGTATATCTCCTATCTTTGTCTAAACTCTAAAAGCAATCACCCACTTGCCGCCACTGCCTCCTCCCCTTTCTCGATGGACGCCCATGGGTCATCAGATCCATTCAACGTCGATTCGGCTTGCTTGGTGAGAATAAACGTCTCCTTCTTTCGAGTCTTGTTTTTATTTCTTCGTACCATCGCAGATGAGAGACAGTACTTGGAACAAAATGTGATCAAATGAATCCAAAAGAAAACGCATACACGAAGTAGTACACATAGGGTACACTACGTAGACGATACAGAAAGAGGAAGAGTGAGAAATTCTTCAATTATCCGCTGTTTTTCCTGATGGGCAAGCCCGAGGTTCTTATTAAAGCATTTATTAATACACAGCAGCTGACGTTTCAGCGATTTCGTCCTCTTGAAAGCATGGAAATGTCAGATTGACGTGCAATCTACTCAGCCAAAGTTCTTCATAAGCCCAGCAGACAGAACTTATGCATAAATCTTTTGAATTTGCATAATTGACAGCTTCTTCAAAGCACTCACTATTCCGCTCTTTACAATTCTTCCAGTTATTTGGTGGAGATCAGTCGCACAGAGTCTTACACGGTTGAAAGACATTCCTCCCTCATAGAAGACTTTGCGACTGATCTCCACCGAACAACTGGAAAAATTACAAAGCATAAAACGGTGAGTGTTTCGAAAAAGCCGTTTACTATGTGAAGTGAAACAATTTATGCATTAAGTTTTGTTTGCGTTCGTTCCCCACCGCATACACCTGCGGTCCGGAGTTTTGCAAACATCTCAGCATCATTGAAGTTATATTTCATAATGTATGCCCTGCCGTTAAAAAGAGTAGGCAGTAAATAATGAGTTAAAATTGTAGAATAAATGTTGTAATAATAATCTCATGCTTGTTGATCAAGAGAACAGTGAGAATTGGAGATCGGCAGATTCCAATTTTCAAAATTCCCACTATAAACGGCATCTTTATACCCTCTAACATCCTCTGTTTTTACCGTATGGTACTATTTACAAGGAATAAAAAACTTACAACTTCCATGAATATCGAGGGTAGTGTAAGATGGAGTGAAAAAGTAGAACTCCAAAGAGCTTTCAAATAGTCCCCATTAGAAAAATGACATAGTTTGATGCTTGTACTTGTCTACTCATAAATATATACAACTTATGAGACAATTTAATAGATGTACATAGTGTATCCTCTCAACGGTTTACCACCTCACCATGGCTGGGAGGTGTTCCTGGATGTCCAGCTGCGATGTACTGCAGGGGATTCATTCCCTCATCAGGACCTCCCAAACTGAGTCCGGCGACTCCATCAGAAAGCCCAGCTAAGAGCAAACCAATACCAATACCATGTTCAACCACCGTCTCGGTATCAAACTAGTCACGGTGGTAAATCTCCCTCTGATCCACAACAGCAGCGACTGTCCGTGATGGTGACAACCCGAGGCAACTTTGGCCAGGCTGACCTCGGGACTACAGAGAAACACAACGGCGAAACTAGCAAAACTTCGAAAAGTGGAGTATATGATAGGGTCCAAACAACCAGTGAGGACGGGCAGTGAAAGTATGCAAGCAAGTATATAGTGTATCACTGTTTACGTGAACAGTAAATAAACTATTACGGAAAAGAAGCGGAGTGCCTGAAAACAGAGTCAGAAAAACTGAAAAGCCTTTTAGGGACAACAGTGGGTCTGTCAAAGTTCAAGATGACTTCCATTACAGTTAGAATATGATTTGAATGACCCTTCCCCAATAGTTAATCTTTGCAATCTAATCGTAATGGGTGAATAACACAGTGGTAGTGGTGCCGATAATAACGAGCATTCAAATCAAGCACGATGCTGCTCCAATCCTCCTCTGGGCTCACCAAGCTTCTCATCCCTCCGAGGTTGGAAAATTGGTACCGAATTTGTCCGGGGAAAAAACTATTCTTTGTGATCAAACTAAGAACACTCTAGCTCGACTACCTCAGGATTGCAAAGGGAATCGACTCGGCCAGCATTCAACGACATTGAAGAAGAAAGGAAAATCCTCAAGCAGCAGCCGAAGTCACACGTTAAAAATGGAGAATCTTCACAGACAGTGGATCCGAGAAAACGGAGCGAATGTAAGAAGTGCTAGGATCCGCATAGTAGATGTGTAAAAGGGTTGTATAGACAACTCTAATATCTAGAGTTTATCACGCTTACACATATCCACAGTTTATGAGGGCCTCATTCAGAAGATCTCATGTATGCTATAATTTCCAAATGAGGCATGCCATCTCTTGTTCATTTTTCGCCTAAGATTTCCAAGTGATTAGATCTCCATGCTCTACTGTAGAGAACACGAATGTATGCAGGTAGCTTGTCAAAGTCTGCCAGAGTTTTAAAAGATGAAGGATAAAGTTCTCGGCGTTGGTCTATCTCTAAGGGATGCGCCATGCATTCGACTTCATCATGCATCGTTGAAGGTGACTGAACGCATAACTGGTTTTTACAATGACTCGCGGTGGCCTACCGATGTAACGAGCCATCGCTGCTGTCCCTCTATATAAATTTGGTACAAATTTGCCGACCCCTGAGGGATGGAGGGCCTTGGGCGTGGAGATAAATCCTGTGTCTTGCTGGGCACATCCGACAATTACGCTACACGCACCTCTCCGTGAGTAACAGTGCAGCCTAATTCTTCGCAGCGACTCTAAGTCGCCCCCTCGATCGCAAACTTTCGGCACCTCGAAATGCTCCTCATCAGCGAGATGAGTGAGAGGTATGAATCCAACATATAAAATGTATTGACTTCAGCGTACACCTATTGATCACTGTGTACTTCGGGTCCAGATAACTTACAATCGTTCCAGTTCCTTTTAATTTGTCCCTCTTGGGTAGGATACCTAATGGTGTAGTTCCTCGCATCCATATTCCACATGGAACTTCAATTTTGCGTATGCGCAAGTCTCCTTGAAGACTTAGATTTTTCTTCTGATTGTCGTTGAATAATGTTTAGATCAATTCTCCCTGGCATCTTGAAATTGCCGTCGTAGAGCGCCCCACGACCTTCTTCATAGGTTTTTTTTTAGTTTTCGTGTATTAAAGACAGAGAGTCAATCGCAGACAAGCCTGGTATCAATATCAAAACCACAGAAGGACTGAGGTTTAGTTGGCACCTGGAGTGATCGAAGCAAGTTTTGAGCATACTGAACGGCACCGTCACCACTGCGCAACTCACAGCCCATTCCTAACAACAAAAACAAAAACTAAGCAACATCAATGCACCAATTGTAGCTCTGAAAATGTGCAGAAATGAACAACTATGAAGACACAAAATAAAAAAGACAAAATAACCTTCATCAAAATTGCGACCTCTGTTAGTAGAAAATTTACTAAAACACTGAAGATTAACAAAAATAGCTGTAGAAACCAAATAACGCGTTAATGTCAAGAGTATAACACCGATTTAAGTGGAGCGGTAACAATCATACTGCAAAAATCATCTCAATGATAGGAAAATTACAAGTACAACTCTTCTGGGGCTCCTTCTTTTTTTCGATACAAAACATTTTCTTTAGCTTTTCGGAAGTCCTCCATTGTGACGCGCATGCGACGTTCACGTAGCGCCAACAAACCAGCTTCAGTGCACATAGCCTGAAAGTATTGCCGCATTCCTAGATTATGATTATGGCCTTAAAACATTTATGTATGCCTGGAATATATTATTCCCTTTCATACTAACCTTAATGTCCGCCCCACTCAGTTCGTCCTTGGCCAGAATGAATTCCTCCAAATTCACATCATCACTCAATGTCATGCGCGAAGTGTGAATCTGCAGAGACATATTTCCACAGGTCAATGTCAAAAGCAAAAATTGTTTCCCACTTACTTGGAAAATCCTTCGCTTAGTCTTCTCATCAGGTAAAGGAAACTCAATTTTCCTATCAATTCGACCAGGGCGAATTAGAGCAGGATCAAGCGATTCTATGCGGTTCGTGGCCATCAACACCTAATATGGAAAATAAGCAGCTAGAAAACTGTGACAATTTCATTAAAAGGATAAAAGAAAAAGCTCTCGGCATTGATCAATCCCTTAGGAATGCGTCATACATTCGACTTCATCAAGCATCATTTGGATGTGATTAAATACATATGCGGCCTTTACAATGACTCGCGGTGGCCTACCGATGTATCGAGCCAGCGCTGCTATCCTTCCAGACAGGTCTGGTATCAATTTCCCGACCTTGGAGGGATGGAACGTTTGGTGAGGCTAGGGGCGTGGATCGGTTCCGCGTGTATTGTATAACGCCTCAAACCACTGCGCAGTACGCGGTTTCAGTAGCAATATATATTACTGAGTGCTTGATAAAAAACCAGTTTTAAATCAATACAATTTGTGCTGCATAAAACACCATGGATATAAGCTGTTAAAATTACATCAAGCTAGAATGTTGAGAACAACCGGTGATAAAATGGTCGAACAAGAGCTCACATAAAAAGGACAAAATATTAGTAACACTTGTACTTGTTTTTGCAGCAGTTAGCCAAAGTACTATTGAAAGTTTTTTTAATGAAAGATACCGCAACCATGCAAACATATTGCTTACTTTCGTAGTATCGTGCTCGCTTTCCAAGATAAACTAGTTCTGCAAAATTCAGAATGCTCAGTCGATTTTTGTAACCTCGGTTTTCATCATCTTCGATGTGGCTAATAGTACTACAAAAACCTCAAACAATAATGTGTCCATAAAACGCTTATATTAACTGAACCCAAATTCTCAATCTATTTCAAAAAAGAAAACCCATGGGCATCCGCATTTGAGACTTTCAGGAATGCCCCTTCTTACTGTTAGTGACGATGACCATGTGACCACAAATGACTACTTAGTTCCACAGCCCATTTGTGATCTGATTGTTATTTATGATCCTTCTCTTACGTGCTTTCCATTCGTTACAATATTCCTGACTGAAGCTTTTCGCTCGACTCCATCTGCAAGACATTATTGGGAGATACACACACCTCCAGCGATCCGAATATGTGCAAACGTCTGACAGTAATGGGTCGAACTTCGAGTGATATAACCAGTGATACCACTACCTGGGATCATCGATATTCTACAGTAAGCCATCACACAATTATTCCCTTCGGTATTTGGAAACAAATTCGTTCACCGGAAACAAAAACCTAGCGAACGGCATTCGTATTATGTTGTAAAATCAATAATCATTCTTTCGTTGAGTTTATACCTAAAAGAAGTGTAACGGCTCATCGTATATAGCTGACCAATATCGCAAACAGTTGTGCCTATTTTATCATTTAATTGGATGTCGTCAACTGATAAGAAGCACCTTAACATCACCGCGAGAATCAAAGCCATCAAGCTGATTGAGAAGTTCAAGCATAGTTCGCTGGATCTCGCGTTCTCCACCGGAATTGGAATCATATCGTTTCGTACCAACAGCATCAATCTCATCAATAAATACGATTGACTGAAACAATGTGGAATGCGATAAACCATGAAGTACTTTTCACATAGACCCTTCCCTAAAAAACGATAGCACAGAGATCAGATAATCAGGAGCTTACTACGTACCGGGGCATTTTCTTCGGCAACACGGAACAACTCTCGCACCATTTTGGGTCCGTCGCCAAGGTATTTTTGAATAAGCTCAGATCCAACAATTCGAAGGAATGTAGCAGACGTTTGGTTAGCGACAGCTTTTGCTAGCAAAGTTTTACCCGTTCCAGGACAACCATACAAAATTACACCTAAAACACTGCTTTAATTAGCTGTAAAACAAAAAACAAATGCGAGACATTCCAGCTATAACCTTTCGGTGGTTTAATGCCCATTTCTTCATAATACTCCGGATGTGTCAAGGGTAACTCGACTGACTCTTTGATTTCCTGGATTTGTTGGTCCAGTCCACCAACATCTGCATAGGTCTCCTGAAATGATGTACAAATAAAGAGGAATGCCAGTATTCCTTGAGACTATATAGAAAGAATTCGAGTAATTTTAGGAACAAACCTGGGGCGCTTTTTCAAGTTTCATTACTGAAACCATTGGATCGGTATCGTCGGCGAGAACACCAATAACAGCATGATTCTGCAAAGATGTGAGAACTCTTAGACTCGGTGAAAAAAAAAGGATAAAGCTCTTGGTGTTGATCTATCCCTAAGGGATGCGCCATCACCCGACTTCATTAAGTATCGTTAGACCTGACTGAGTGCATATCTGGCCTTTACAATGTCTCGCGGTAGCCTACCGATGTATCGAGCCAGTGCTGCTATCCTCCCAGAGAAGTCGATTAGCAATCTGCCTACTCCGGAGGGAAGGAAGGCTTGATGAGCCTTGGGCTCGGGGATCGGTCCTATGTATTGCACGGCATCTCTAACCACTGCGCTATATGACCCTTTTCCAAGAAATAACAATACAAAAAACAAAACTACCACGTTAATCGCTGGCGACGCACCTTATGGTTGAGTAGAACTGCACAGCCTGGTTCGAGCTGTTCTTTGTCAACGAACGACATAATGTTCACGTAATGTTCGCTCCCAACATTCTAGAAATAAATTACTTAGTAAAAATATATTGACCTAACTTCTTAGAACATTAAGGAAAAGAGAGAAATACCGTTGAAACAATAGCATGCTGATCATCAATGATTTCTTCTAGAGAACCTACTGCCATCGGAGTACCTCGAAGCTCATCCACCTACATTTGAACTGATATGAATAGGAAGGAGTAATGAAGTGTTCTGAAGAATTAATTATTCAGGATGACATAAAAATGTACGTGCCTACCTTCGTTCTCTCCTCCTCTTGGCGTTCTTCTTGTGGCTTAAGGCGCTCTTGATTCTGAATAAACTCCTGCTCCATCAGAAGGTAATCCTTAATTCGCTCACTTCTCAGTAGCTTCAGACGGCAACGGGCGTGAGGAGTAACTAAAATGATAGGATCTTTAAGATAGAACAACACCACGAAAACTGAAGCAGTGTGCTCAACGCAACCTAGTGAAGCTATAGAATGTGAGACGACTGAACTAACACCACAGTTTAACCCTTGTAAGAAAGAATCAAAAGTGGTGATTCGTATGACATAATAATAATAATAATAATAATAATAATAATAATAATAATAATAATAATAATAAGCTTACTAGCGGGCAATTTGCTAGCGGTGTCCGGTCCCTTAGATCCCTTTTTTCGCTTTCCAATTCTGGATGGAATAGGTGCCTCATACTTCTTCTTCTTCTCCTTGTCCGCATCACCACCACCTCTCTCGTTCCCCTTTCCAAATCCGGATTGTTGCTGCCCCATTGTCCTTTAAAAAAACACTTCAGAATAGACGATATAGACAAATCAGGAAACAAGATGCCAATTCCAGAGGGAAAGGCTAGGTGATGATAGAGAATTTTAGCTGAACAAACAAAGAGCCAGATAGAAATACGAGCGGATACTAATACTAAAGACTAATACCAAAGCCATCTATTCAGAGGAAAACCCCCAACTGACAAGAAATTGGGAAGAGCTGTTTTTGACGTAAAAGTGCTGTTAGATGATGACAAATGACATACAAGGAACTCGTCCATTTGTTCATTTCACAACGAGGGGTCAGAATGGATTTCCCAGTGGAAACTTCACAACGAACAGTACTTGAGAGCCGTTCAGGACTTTTGGGAAGAGAATCTATCGGCATCAAAAATAACAACATTCGTTCCCAAGCAACGAACTACGAGAAACATTTAAGTGACATCTCTCCAACCAAGAAGAAAACAAGAGTACTAGGTGGAAATGCCTTAAAACCGAGTTGCATTAAGCCTCAGCAGAAAACAATCACTACATTCTTCGAATATGAAGCTAACACGGGGTAGATTTGGACGGGAAAGCTTATCTTAAGAAATCGAGGTAGGCAATGGGGGTTGGCACGAGATCGTCGTCTTCCCGATGTCGTAGTTCTGCACTGGGGCGAGCAGGGCCCTTTCATTCAGTGGTAATGCAACCCACTCACGTTTAGCGGTGTCCTGCTGACATGGACGCTGCTCTGTCGTCAAGTACTAGAACTGACTTTAAGACCCAACGTTATAACTCTGTTATTGATTATCGCTTATGGTAAGGCACTGCGGCTCAATATAACTGCTGATTTGAGCACGTTCCGCTGTTGGCAGGTTTTCCTAAATTTCATTTTAATCTATAGGTTTTTCTTTTGTTATATTTCATTTTGAAATTTCACTGCTACACCAACAGTTGGTGATGATGACAGGCTTGGAGAAAACGAAGAAAATCTTAATTTTTTTTAAGGTACATCACTTGTCCAGTCGATCTGGCCAAATGGAGAGAACTTTCCAGTCCACTTATGATGCTTAGAACTAGGTTTTAGTGCCGTATATTCCCAGCTGTATTTAGAACTAGCAGAGGAAGTGCTCCCCAACGATTTAGCGCCTCATCGTGGCTGGTAGGTGTTTGTCGGGTTGCGATGAACAATGGGGTTCATCCCTTAAGCAGGACCTCCCAAGCTGAGAAGCAGTCCGACGTTTCCATGCGGAAGCTCAGCTAAAGGTAAACCAATACCAGGATCCGTCACCGTCGTGGTTTCAAACTAGTGGCATAATGGCAAGTCTACCTCTGATCCACAAGGGTGGCGATTGCTCAGGGTGGTGACGACCTGAGGAAGGTTTCGGATAGACTGATCTCAGAACTCCAGGGAACCATAGCGGCTGAACCAGCGGGTGACCGGGATGGAAATTATGTTGCGGCCCGTACAAGCAGTGAAGACCAGCCATCCGAATATTTAAGTACCTAAGTAAGCAGAAGTGCTCATAAAAAATTTTCTAGGCTACCTTTTGACACTTTTTGACATTTTGTAACCTCCGTTAAAACTTTTTTCTTATAAAAGGTAGTCGTGCGACTCCTCCCACTTTTGGACAGCCACTAAAAGTAAGGTATTTAGCCAAGGTCGAACCTTTGGATCCGTATGGCACAGGTGCCTCTGTACAGACTACATCCCCATGTCTCCCACTAGCTATTAAATGATTCTAAAGCTCATCACTGAGGTCTTTTATTTGTCCGCCCTATTGGTTCTGCTCATTCGAGAAACATATCATTATTCTTCTCGGTCCTTGTGGTGAATTTACCCTATCGGACTTGTGGTCGTACATGTGCATCCTTAACAACCCGTGGTGCAAATTCGTTGACATTTTCTTCCACTTGTTGTTCAGACGAGTGGTGTTCCCAGCCCACTTGGTTGCTGAAATCTTGGCCCTCATGTGAAACGAAGCAGTACTAGAATGTCACCAGCTGATTGTAATGATTCTTTTTAAACGTCTGGTTTTTCAGCCCTTTCACGGATGTATTCATGCACGTGTACGTGGGTGTATCTTGGCTTATGTGGATTGCATTGTGTGAGTCAGTTTGGCCAAAAGTGTGTAATCAAGTAACGGGGTATTATATAGGAAGCAGTTAGGAGTGGCCTCTAACAAGAAAGCTACCCGTCTACTCTGGGAGAGATTGGCAAGCCAGACGTGATTATACCGTCACCGCGTTCAGAGCTCAGCAAGCTCTACGTTGGTACAACACAGTAAAATAAGTAGGCCTTATTGCCTTATTTCCCTAGACGCGACCAAGCTCCTGTACGACGGCGTTTGGTAGACTGAGGTACGGAGAAAATGTTATAATCACAATTCATGCTGCCTGAACCTCGAAGGACTAAGGTGATGATTTGGACCAACAGTGCATTCACACTTTCCATCCATCCTCGATTGATTATGCAGACAAAAAGAATGATATACGACGTGATCAGACTGGCTGAGACGACAAGACGCCACCCCTTCAATGCCATCTGTGATACTGGAGAAGAAACAATGAACATTCGGCTCACTCGACTCCGGTACCACCTTTCCGACTCCACCATCTTTTCTGCGCTAACGTGTGCGTTAAAAACCTGATCGCTACGTAGTTTTCGACCTCTACCCCAGGATTGTGACTACCATCTCAAAAGGTTATTGTTATGCCTTTGTGCCTTAGGTGTGTCTAAAGGAGTACTTGGTCGAGTTCTCCACATCCCATCTAGGTGTTCTGCCGTGCGGGTACGAAGTAGTCTACCCGCTCTGCCAATGTATTCGTCACTTCGTGTCTTAGTCCCCGAATCACTAATGACTGTTGTAGTTTTAGTTCGTCATTCGAGGGACAAATACGTTCGATAAGGAATTGCTTCAGTGAGGATAAAACCCTCCATGTGCTCATAGCCAACTTCTTGCAGAAAATAAACCAGTTCTATGGTTGTGAGGTAATGAAATATATGAAGAAGGCTTCCCAAATCCTTTTAGGATGGGCCACTATAGCGAATTAGCGAATATCTCAAAGTCATCCGCTCATGATAGGTGAAATGGACGACTGAACCATGAAATTCTGACAAGAACACAAATATTACTTGGTTTTGACCAAAAAATGTGACGCTTCTTCCAATATGAACGGCGTTCTGTTCTTTAACTCGATTTCGTCTGGCCCAACCAAACCTCCTCCCCTCCCAATCTCTGATTTTTGCGAACGAGAAACTTGATAACTTGTGAAGGTATGCGATGATCATATAGGTGGTTTTGAGTGCTATTTTCAAAGATATCACTGAAAAATTGTACGAGTAAGGATTGAGAACTGTTTCCGAATATGCAATGCGATAAATCACACTGGTAACCGACTACTTCGTAAATTCCGAGCGCTTTCCTGGATATTTTTCTGGATACTGTTTGTACACTTTGGGCACTTTTTAAATAGATGATCCAACTCGATACGACGAACAAGATACTACATCGAGAGTTCGAACGACTGCGGACCACCGACTTGGATCTGGGTTGCGAGGAAGACGAAAACGCCAAAAAGTTAGCCGAATAGACCTTTTTAACAACCTCCTAGTCTAAGAAGGTACTGACTGCTGCTTTCTTTTTTACAGCAATCGTGATGTTGTTATTCAGCACAGGTTTACTTCCTCACACATATAACACATACACAACGGTAGCTGTTTCGGCAGTATCGCTTTCTTCAGAGCCTGGAAGGGTACACTAATATGTAATTTACTAGGTCAAACGCTTCAACAACGCAAACAGAAAGATGAAAATCTGAACAATAATTGCACGATCGCCGGCTTCTCGCAAAACCCACCGTTTTTATCTGTTTTCCGATAAGGAAGAACAGCCGCTTAGAGTCGCATAAGGTTGATTGCTGTGCCACCCTACATCAAAAATCAGTTCTGAGATACGGGGCTAGATCACGCGCTATCTCAGGGCATTCTTTGCTATTCATTCTCGGATTTTTGGAACTTATCCAAAAAGCCTCGAGAAATTTGCGCGTTGGTGTTTTAGTCTCCCGTGCGATGACAGCGACTTTTACATCAAAATCTCCTCCGCTATGTTGTTGTATCCTATGCGTGCTTAGTGGCGTGCCTTGTTTTGATTTTCGTTTGCCATCTAGGTGTTTTTTATACGGATAGAAAAAGTTCTGCCCGTTTCGCCGATATGTTCATCTCCGCATGTACTACAAGAAATCAGGTATATCTATCGTACCTGAACTCATGCAATCACCGTCGCTGCCGTAAGGGCAAATTACGCAATTTGGTGTTTCACTTGAACGGTCATACAGGCGGTAACAAACTAACTGACGACGTAGAGTATCCGGTGGTATTTCAACTATCTCTACCGATTCCTCTAAATAAGGGGGTTGGCAATGGGACAGCGACTGGCACCAAGCCGTGCCATTGCGTTTATGTCTAAAGTAGAAGCCCCCGTTCTTGGTCTCCGGCCACTACTCTACTGCAGGTACGTAGATGATTGTTTTGTCGCCTTCTCTACGCAGGAGGAGATGGACAAATGCTTTGAATTAATGAACGAGCAGCCTGAGTACATAAAGTTCACCCAGTAGAAACCGAGAAAAAGCTGGCTTCAGTTTTTTTGTGTTCAAATAAACCTATCAAGTGGCGGTTACTTGACAAAGTGGTACCAAAAGCCAAGTAACAAGAAAATTCTTGTTCATTTCTTTTCTTCCCTCCCACCCTTCACACACAAAGAGAGCGTTTGTGAGAAACATGTTTCAAACAGCCACCTCTGTGTGCACAAGTGGGGAACTAAAGGAAGAATCGCGCAACTTGGTTTGGCAAATAGCCATCATCAATGGCTACGAAATAGTAACCCCATGAGATAAGTTTAGAAGGAGAACGACGTTCAAAACGAAGGGTTTGACCGAAACAAAACCCCCTTTATCTTGCCCTTCATTAGCGTTGAAATAAGCGTAGCTATTAAACGATGCTTAAGAAGGGCAGGTATAGAGGAATCAGTAGTGATAGTTGAAATACCACCGCCTACGTTACGTCGTCAGTTAGTTCGTAACTGCTTGTATGACCGTCTATGTGAAACAACAAATTGCGCAATTTGCCCTTACGGCAGCGACGGTGATTGCATGAGTTCAGGTACGATAGATATACCTGATTTCTTGTAGTACATGCGGAGATGAACATATCAGCGAAACGGGCAGAACTTTTTCTATCCATATAAAAAACACCTAGATGGCAAACGAAAATCAAAACAAGGCACGCCACTAAGCACGCATAGGATACAACAACATAGCGGAGGAGATTTTGATGTAAAAGTCGCTGTCATCGCACGGGAGACTAAAACACCAACGCGCAAATTTCTCGAGGCTTTTTGGATAAGTTCCAAAAATCCGAGAATGAATAGCAAAGAATGCCCTGAGATAGCGCGTGATCTAGCCCCGTATCTCAGAACTGATTTTTGATGTAGGGTGGTACAGCAATCAACCTTATGCGACTCTAAGCGGCTGTTCTTCCTTATCGGAAAACAGATAAAAACGGTGGGTTTTGCGAGAAGCCGGCGATCGTGCAATTATTGTTCAGATTTTCATCTTTCTGTTTGCGTTGTTGAAGCGTTTGACCTAGTAAATTACATATTAGTGTACCCTTCCAGGCTCTGAAGAAAGTGATACTGCCGAAACGTCAGCTACCGTTGTGTTGCATGTGTTATATTTGTGAAGAAGTAAACGTGTGCTGAATGACAACCTAGCGATTACTATAGAAAAGAGAACAACAGATTTGCGATCCAATGCCGAGGTTAGGGGAAAGTCGATCTTGGGAACTGTTAAAGGTACCGACTATTGGTAATGTTGTTTATGTCAACTATACATTTATTACTGAATACAAGCAACATGTACAAAGTCCTCAGGATGGCTCATTTAATTTTATACAATGCATTTTCGAAGTGTCGTATTTTAGGGTGTATGGCCGCAAGGTGAGCTCGTACGACAGATTTTTTTCCCTACAGTACTTAAGTGCAAGGACCTGCCGTTCTGATCTTATCCCTACTGTTTTGGTCTGTTTTTCTACTGGTTATCGAATGAATATCTTAGTGTGGCGAGAAGAAACCCTGTGACCCACTAAGCCGAATAGAGACACCATAGTGTCCATATGATCGTTTGCTCCAAATCGCAATGGATAACTGTAGTGTCCGTAGGGAAGGTGTTCACTTGGTCTGAAGGCCAATGCTCTTTGTGTTGTTCACTTTCTGTTGTACAATTTTTTAAAAGCCACTTATTTTCACATCGATGGATATGCAACAGATTTGGATGATCGTGAAACTCCTATTAGGAACGGACTATTTTAGCAATACCCTGGTCCGACCATTTCCATCATTATTTCTCTACCACACCTCTTCGTCTTTCTTCGTCCTTCCCTTCTTTCTCCCTTTTGCTCTTTTTCTTTCCCCTTTCCTTTCCACCACTGTCTTCTCTCTCTTTCGCTCCTCTTTCTTTCTGCTCCTCTGTGTTTTTCCTTGTTAGTTGTGGTATCTATGGTGAAAATAGTCCACCTTGTGAAGCAGGTTTACTGTTTTGTTGAGTGAAAATCTAATATGTTATTGGTCGCGTGAAGCCACAACGATGGAAAGGTGCGCAAATCCTTTCATACTCCTTTCTTCGGTGGGCAAGTTAGTTATGGAAGTAAGCCATAGTGCTTTATTAGGGTTTACTTAAGTGTTAAGCCACATGTGGCGCAGTGGTTGGAGGTGCCACTGCGACACACATGTGGAATCGATCCCTCCGTCCATGCCCGCCAAGCCTTCCATCCCTCCGGGATCGACAAATTGGCACCAGACTTGTGTGGGAGGATAGCAGCATTGGCTCGATAAATCGGTGGGTCACCGCGAGTCATTGTAAAGACCAGATATACATTCAGTCACCTCCAACTATGCTAAATGAAGTTGAATGCATGGCGCATCCTTCAGGGATTGATCAACGTCGAGAGTTTTATTTATTAGAGCTTTTTACTTAAGTGTTATTGTGGGAAATCTGTCACATTGTCGAGATGCTACCTTTTTAAAGCTAAACCTTCGTTCATAAATTGATGGAATTCCATCAGCTTTATGTTCTTCTTCATTGTTTTCATGAAGAGAAACATTTCGTGTTTTCGTGCTTTTCGTGCACACGTTTCCATATCCTTAAGAATTTGCTATTCCTTAACGGTATCAAAGTAGTTTCCGTCATCCTCGAATTTAGGAACAGGATGATGCAATTTATGCTGCTCTTCAGTCGACAAGGGAAGCTGAGGCTTCAGAAGTGGTATACTGCCTATCAGGACAAGGTATCTAGGTCTTTAAAAAATGTGAAACGTTTCAGGAGAACTCTAATTTCGGTCTCCTGAAGGAATTAGCTGTTTCTTTTTCCAACAGTCCATGGCATCTTTAGATATGTTTTTCCATCGCATTACAGTTTTTCTGCTTGCAAAGGTTAAGGTCACAAAGAAGAGTTAGTCTATCTGCATCAGATTCGTACGCAGACTCTGAAGGCGTCGTATTCGTGCTTCGTTTTTATAAAAAGGCGAAAAAATGTGTTCTGGATATAGCGTTATAGTGAATCCAGAAGATCCGACAAATTGTTCACAAAGTTTTACTACCAATTCTGACATTCCTCGCAACGGTTTACCGCCTCGTCGTGGCTAGGAGGTGTTCCTTGTGCCGGGCTGCGATGTGCAGCTGAGGAATTCATCCCCCAACAGGGCCTCTCAAGTGGAAAAGGAGTCCAGTGTTTCCATCAGGAAGCCCAGCTATGAATAAACCGATACCAAGAGCCACCGCGGTCCTGGTATCAAACTATTCGAATGGTTGTAAATCTACCTCTGATCCACAAGGGCGGCGACTGACTATGGTGGTGACGACCTGGGGCAGACTAGGCTGACCTCGGGACTCTAGAGAACCATAATGGCTAAACCAGCAGAACTCCGAAAAATGGGAATTTTACTGGGCCCCGCACAAACAGTGAAGACGGGCCATCCAAGTATCCGACTAATTAATGCTGACATTGTGGTGATTAAAGATTTACAAGGACTGTGAGGGTCCAGTTTTTTTTTGCTTCAGATTACCTGAGGTTGTTGTTTAAAACTGATTTGTTGGTAAGGTTTTGGCACGATGTGTGCAAAATTCTTGTGTTTACAGATGAAAAAGAAGATCTGTCGCGAACTAATCACTCAAATCCTTTCAAGAAAGCCGAAGATGTGTGCTTTTTTGGAATACAAAGACCTCAAAATAGTGTATAAAAGGTGGGGTACGACGTTTTATTCTGTTGTTGGGGCATCCTAAATCACCTCAGTATTCGTTTTTCCCATATCCTTATTCCATTTCTTCCATTGCATACATGTTTTTCATTCGATTAAAAATTGTTAATTCTACAAGTACTTGCTGGAGGGAACTTCATTTCAACGAACTTTCGATGTTGAAGATCCGGTCATATGCCGGACATTGCTCCTTTATTCATACCGAGGTTATAAAAGGATGAAGCTGTGGGCGTTGATCAATCCCTGAGGAATGAGCCATGCACTCGACTTAACTGACCATTGTTGGAGGTGACTAAATGCATATCTGGCTTTTGCTATGACTCGTGGTGGCCTAGCGATGTATGAGCCAGTGCTGCTATCCTCCCAGACAAGTCTGGTACCAATTTGCAGACACCGGAGGGATGGAGGATTTTATGGGCCCTGGACGTGGAGATCAACTCCTTGTGTATTGCAGGTCGTCTCCGACCACTGAGCCACACCCACCCCCTTAAGTCGAAGTTATACTCCTGTTTAATACCCTTTTGACAAAGACAGGTCTCAATAACACTGAGTAAGAGCAGTTGGAAAGCAGTACAGTAGTACATACAATAATACTATAAATACATATACCTAGATACTAGAACGTCACGTTATTTTCTAGATTTTCCTCTATGTCCAGATCACCATGAGAAGGGAGTATTTAAGGGTATGTGTAGCAGTGTGTTTTATTTCTACTACTTGATTTTCAATGCATCTTTTGTGATGTAGCCACTTTCTGAAAACCTTTTTGGTTGTTTGAGAATGAAAGCCAGTTCTACTCTGGTTGTTCTCGCGTGAATGTGGTATACTCTGAACGTCCATTTAACAGTTCAAAGCTCTTGTGTATTTGTTCTTGTGTTAACCAGATGACAAGAACAGTCGTCGATATACCTACGATGGAGCAATGGTCGATGATCAAGAACTACTGCTTCCACCTTGGACTTAAAGGCACTGACAGTGCCTGGTGCTAATTGTTGACCCATTCCCAACTCTCTGATTCGTGGGCAATATTTCATGAACCATCTGAAGATTAAACAACTAAGGCAGTCTTTAAGAGATTGTTGTTCTGTTGAATAGACAAGTCATGCGTACTCATTCTATTCTCATTTTCTACGAGCAGCTTGAGAATTGTTCGGATTGCGGAGTAATTTGATACATTTGTATAAAGTGTAATCACATGAAATGACCCCATACATGTGTCCTGTTTGGTTGCGCTCACCCTAGGTGATCTTGGAATATTTTGGTACTAGGTAGATGGGGCGCGTGTGCAATGGTCGGGAGCGACCTGCAATGCAGTGATTCGGACTACACGATTGTGGAAACTATTCATGTAAGGTGTAGTTCTGGATTCGTTTGCTGATCATTTCGTTGTCTAAATATTGAATTTAACCGAAGGTTTCTTCTTCGCAACTAGATTTTTTTCCAAGGATACGTTCTGTGGTTGTTCAGAAGCAGTTTTTACGGATCACTACCGCAACTTTTCTTTGTAAAGGTGGTATATGTTATATCCAGTTAGACTTCTATTTGATCAAAGTTATTGTTCTAGCAGCTTTTACTTGAAGTTCTATGTGGAGTTTCTGGAATTTTATTCATACTAATTGCGTTTGCACAGAAATATGTATATCACCCTGTGTATCACATTTTCACACTACGGAATACCCATCACTCCGGAGTTGAGGTAAATCATGAGGGGGAGAATTCAACAATTTTTATTCGTTTGTTTTATTTTTTTACATAAGAAATATAAATAATTTACAATCATGAAAGATGTTGTAGGTACGCATCACTGTACTTCTGCTGCGCTATTGAACAAACAGATAACGAGTTAATCTGCCTTGAGGTTATTCACAGATATGTGGAATTGCTTGATAAGTACTTTGGAAGTGTGGGTTTTTCTCTTTCAAATAGTACAGAACCTAACCGAGTTGTTTGCTATTCTGAGTAGTTTACGAGATTAGCTGTTACCAAGTTTGACTTGTATGCTTTTTAATGTTGGCTGTAATTATATGTTCTAGGTCTGTGAACTCGACATTATTTTCAATTTCGAAAAAGCTTACTTTATTCTGGATGAATTTCTTCTTGCGGGTGAGATTCAAGAGACGAGTAAAAAGCAAGTATTGAAAGCAATTGCAGCTCAGGATCTCATTCAGGAGGTATGTGCTAATTTGTAATCTGTTTTCATAGAGTAGAATAACCGATCATCCGAGGCAGTTCTACTTCATCGTATATTTCGGAGATTACCGTTTGCGAAAAATTATACATTTAAGAAAGGCAACAGTCTCCATTTATTATTTGCTGCCTATTACCATTTTTCACGGCATGATATTATGTGAATTACAACCACAATTATGCTGAGATATTTGCAAAACTCTGGACCGCAGCTGTATGCGGTGGTGAACGAACGCGCTATTTGTCCTTTCCGGGAGCTAACGTGTTCACCACCACACTGTGCGAGTCCTTCGTTTTGCCTGTCTTTCAGCTAGTTCTACCGATCAGTGCCATTGGCAGTCACCCGTAAGCGGGATTGATCTGCGGAGCACGAAGTAGTTGAAATCGCATTGCTAATTTTTTATTTGTTGCCTACTATAATTTTTCACGACAAGGTATGATGCGAAATACAATTAGAATGATGCTGAGATATTTGCAAAACTCCGTAAATTAGTTAATTGAAGTTAGTAAAGTTTGCATTGTGACTTTAACTACAGCTTAAGCTTAACTGGGTTTAACGCCGATTTGGGTTCCCCAGATCATTCCCGTTGATGGGCGCTTGCTGATGGCACTGATCGATAGAACTAGCTGGGAGACAAGCGAAACGAAGGACCCGCATGGTGTGGTGCTGAACGCGTTAACCCACGGAAAGGGTGGCGTTCCCCATCGCACACACCTGCAGTCCGGAGTTTTGAAAATGTCTCAGCAACGTTGTGGTTGTACCTCGGATCATGCCCTACCGTGAAAAATAATAATTGGTATAAAATAAAAAGTTAGCACTGTAATTTCACCCAGGTTTGTTGAGAATTGATAGCAACTATCTATGGCACGCAGTGGAATCCGTAGAATTAACGCTGACGACCTGTGTCGATGCCAAGGACTACCGTTTGGAATATCGTCAAATTTCTTTTTTTTTAAATAAGAAGGAATTCTTTATGTGTTGTAAAAGTAGGAGACTTTAGAAAGTATTGTATAAACAGAAGTATATTGTTTCACATCGTTCATACATTTTGGCCACCTTGAATCACAATTATTGCCAGACACTATGTTTTCACGAACTTTGCTATTATTTATAGATTTAATCGAATATTTCTTAGTAGTGCTTGTGGTGGGTGAGGACTCGTGTGACGCAGTGGTCAGATGCGCCCCGGAAAACACATGGGATCGATCCCCGAGTTCTAGGCCCATTAAGCCTTCCATCCCTCCGGGGTCGGCAAATTGGTACCATACTTGTTTGGAAGGAAAGCAGCACTGGCTCGATACATCGGTAGCTCACCGCGAGTCATTGTAGGGACCAGATATGCATTCAATGACCTCCAAACGATGCTTAATGATTTCGAATGCATAGTGCATCCCACATGGATTGGTTAACTCCGAGAGCTCTATCCTTGTTTTCATTGCTTGTGGTAGTTTTTTGCGTAGGAATTTTATTGAAACTCAATGCTGATGATTTTTTGAGAGAATAGATTTCCAACACATGGATCTCAGTTGTTGAATATGTGAAATTGGAACGGATGAAGCGTTTGATTGATAGTGTCAGGCATTCAATTCTTAGTTTGATTAAGTAATTCGTTTCCGAATTCCCACATTTCTAATGGGACTGATCTTTGCATTATTTATGTCCATATTCATAATTTCCCTTAATAGTTTAGCATTGTTAACGAATGTTCATTAGTGTTCAACTGTTTCATAAATCAGGATCTTCCTAATTCTGCTGTAGTGAACTCTGATTCTCTCAGAACTCTAAATGAAAATGTTTTAAGCTGTCATGAAATTGCCATGTTGAAAACCGCGCGATTGAGGATGTGCTATTAAGTTATCCATGAATGCTCATTGTAGGACAGTTTTTAGAGCTGTGTTTTTGATTTTATCTATTTTACGAAATGAAGCAAATAGAAAGGTTAAAGCATTTCCAAAGGAATACGCCTTGTATTCATTATACCAAATATGTCAAAACCGACTTTCCTTTAACCTCGGCATGACCAATCAATATGTAATCTTTCCTTGGTAAGCTTACACGAGATTGACAAATAATTTTTATTCGACTATCCTTTCGACGTCTTCATATTCATCAGAGCCGATAATCCGAGTCGATAGTCCGCAGTTGTTCGTCTTCTTCATGTCCCGTCGGACTTGGATCATATCCTCTGATGAAGACGAAGATATCGAAACGTTAGCGGAACAAAAATTATTTATCAATATTGTGTAAGCTTACCAAAGGAAATTTGCATATAGCAAGTATGATTTAGTACAAATTTGGCGTAAAAAATGACTCGTAGACTCATATCGAAATGTGGAGTGAGTGTGCTTTCTCAAATAAGTTCGCTTTCAACCAATTTATCGACCCTGTCAGTATAAAGGACTCAGGTTGGCCTGGGTGCAGAGTGAGAGTAGGGATCTGATTTGTATGGTGAGACATATCCAACTACTGCCCTCCATATGTCCATTATATAACATGAAGCCGATTGATCGACAAATTCGCCGTTCATCCCTTATGTAAACTGTTACGAACTTCTGAATTCCATTGCCTGTACATAAGTAAAGAATAGGTTTTATGTTTTGGCTTAGTGAAGTTTGTTGCTCAACTTAGTAGACTACTATGTTTCAAAGAGGTGCCTTTAGCAAATTATGGTGCACTTGTTTAAGTCATCAAGGTAGAATCATGAGTTTCCAACAGTTTCTACTTTCAGGAGGAGACACCACAGGGTCTATTTGAGGACCACGGGCTTGGTTAACTGAGGCGGTTTCGCCAGCGACTTCATATGGGTACCTTTAATTGTGACTGTTTACAAAGTATTTGCTGTGAAAGTTTGTTTTTCTATTATCCCTTTACAGAATCTGTTTGTAATTTGGAGATCCACATTGCTCCTATGTCATAGGATAGGAATACTGTTCCATTTTTTATTCAAAACTCTAGTGGGGATTCTAAACATGCTACATTGGTGAAATGGATGGATGAATTAAACGAATTGATAACTAGTTGTATTATGGTGTTTTCATTTAATACAACCATTTCTTTTTCACTACCAATCTCATTTGCTGTGGACCAACAGTATTTTGGCTGTGTACCCTGTCACGACCGTGCACATCTTCACGTCTGGCGTTGTAAACCCACTCTCACTCAATATGTTCGACTTTGCCAATAAGTGGTTCCCGTTGTCCGTAAAAGATTGATATGTGGGTGATTAGTGCTTGGGTGTAATATGATGGCTGTTGTTGAAGTGCAATGTCTGCGCATTCTGTTCGAGCTTAATAGATGATAACGGGATGCTTTTGGACGTGTCTCAAACAATACTCTTGGCCGTAGATCCTCTGTTAAGCTTCAACCAGAACGCTTTCTGTTTCCATCCTAGATTATTCTTATTGTTGGATTTGTATAATTTTTGTATTTGATGAAGGTGTCGCAAAGTATAGTTTTTAACAGTTTATGTTTTCGCTCTCAACTAACTGTGAACTCGAGTTCGGTGGATTATAGTTAAACGAGACGACAGAACGAGCCAAACAACAAGTTACATTTCCTCGCTGTACAGGCTTCATGACTTGTACCGTGCTTACACTTTGTATTACTGAAATGTTACTACTTTATTGAAGTAAAGTTAGTTGAATTTTTATTCTTAGGCCCTATCATGACACCATACAGGAGTAGACGCGGTAAAATGTGGATCTTGTGGAATGTGGGTCTCGGTGGAACGCATATGGTTCTAAAAAGTTTCTAAAGTATCCAGTTTCGTCAATGATTAATGAGTATTGTTTCAACAATTATTCAGACTATCCAACTGCCCTTAATGATTATCGAGGACGAGTTGCTCGGGTTTTGTTTCAATCCCATTGGACCGACTGTGATGGCGTGTGTGCGAGAACAACGGGTGGTCGGGTGATTAGATGTATAATGGATCGCTTTGCGTCGCATTAGTCCACCTGACAGTGTCGTCCTGGTCGTCGTCTGTCAAGTGGAATTGTCAGCATTCAAAAGACGGACAACCATCCTGACGGACAGATCGGTGTCCTTAATCAAATACGGAAGCACTGAGTCCACATTCTATCTCAAGAACTTCTACCAGTAAGGTAATAGTACAGTTTAATAGTTTATCGATCGGCTTAGCACCATTATCAAGGGTCAAACCTAACTCCATTGTGAAGGATAGCCACATTGAAAGCCACTAATGGTTACTAGTACTTCTGCTTTGATCTAAACAAACCTCCGGAACTTCTCTACAGTACTTTTGTCTGTATTGTTTTGCCCGAACAAAAGGAGAGATCCTCATCAATAAAGATTTTCAGAAATATTATGTACAGCAGTTTAACACATGTGAAATTACACCTTTACATTAGGGCACCAACAGTCTGTTCCATTTTTAACCAATAAAAGAATGATTACCCATCCCTTATTTATGACGTCATTCATTGTTTACCTATGATTTCTGTGCAGGTCTTATAAAAATACAAGGAAAAATCGGAAACAAAGAGAAGCGACGATTTTGGACTAACTATCGTTCATGAAACTCAGTAAGATGAGCGCCATTTCTGAAGTTTTTGTACAGAATCTTCGCTTAATCGAATATTTTCCCTTGAAATGCAATCCGGGCAAAGTTTGATACTCATGGAATTTCCATCAACGTTTTAGAACACTCAAGAATATGCCTATGATTGCATGTTTATTTGGTTTGTCGAGTCTTACCGTAATTGAATTTAAATGAATTAGGCGTGTCCGTAAAGGCTAGCAGAGAACGCGCGCGCAATTTATGACCTGAGAAAACGAAACGACGCAAAACTGCGGACACTTCCGGATTTGAAATCCTTCTAGCTGCTTCCGTAACAAAAATGACTCTGTTTCGTGTTTATTTGATTTCATAACTGGTTTCCATTTACATTTTTCTACGCCAAAGCAGATAGGGTAGTTATCCGTTGGTTTTGAACCCATTACAGTATTTTTTGTAAGGTTCTCATAGGTTTTTTCTTCGCT